GTTTACTGCCCAGTTTGTCGAAAAGACAGCTGGGAAGGAAAAAAAACACGATCATGCGCGTAAAAAAATTTTTTTATAGATAAAAAAAATCAAAGAATTTTCAAAAATTAGTAATGATTTGCAAACAATAACAAACATGTAAAAAATTCAAAGCCATAATTCTTATTTCTTACTTTACAAAACCCAAAATTAAAATCAATATTATAAAAAAAAAGCCTACCTTTACAAGTGAACCCTCTCTATACTTTTTAAAGGTCATACAAAATTTAGTAGTAGATAGTTTTGCGAGGTCCTGTCTCACCCAATAAAATTTTATCCAACACGTGATTTTAAAGTTGAGCGATCATTCCTTCATTCCTGCATACAAGTGTATCGCATAAAATTGACCAATAATTGTTGACACAGAGAGATGTACGGAATACGGAGTCTGTGTAATATTAGTATACTCCGTATACTCCTAAAAAATAATAGAGTTCATGCAGAAGAAAATTCCTTCGCGTTTAATATTTATTCAAGGGCATCTTTGTTATCAAAATTCAGCTTCAAAAATAAGAACAAAAAAATTATAAATAATAAAGGAATTCTTGTAAAAATGTTAAAAATCATAAATCATAATTCTTGATGTTATTTAAAATTGTAAAATAAAACCCAAAACAAAAAAACTATATTTTTATTAATTTAAAAAACCATTTAACAAAAATGTTTATCTTTGCCGTTAGCTTATTAATTGGATATTTCTTTGGTCATTATAAAAATTACAACAAGCTCTGTAATATAAACCAAAAAATTGATAAAATAGTTAATGAAACAGAGTCTTGGAAAAAATATAGACCAAGTAAACCAGTTTGTGAAAAGAAATACTCGAAAGAAGTTGAAACTTTGTGGGAAGATTTCAAGCGATTATTCGATAAAAAGACTAGACTAGATCTTAATTTTTCGTTTAATAAAATGGCCATTGAAATTCGTGAATTACTTGAAGGAAAAGGAGTTGTTGCCCCTACTATTAAAAATTTCTATCAACGAAAAACTAATCCTAGAAGAAAAACATTAGAAGCAATCCAACAATGGGTTGATAAGGAAAAGAATATGGAGATGGAAATTGATGATGATGAAGAGAATGGTGTTATTGTTTAATTGATAATAATTATCAAAAGATTAGTAATGGCGAAAGTTAGATTTTTGTCAGAGTGCCCAAATAATGGACAATACTTACTATGGCTTTGGGTCCAAGTATTTTTCTCCCATCAAAGTGCTTTGACAATTTTTTACCTTTCAATTTTTTTCTCTATGTATTTTTCTATGTATTTTTCTATGTATCTTTCTATGAATTAAAATAAAGTTCTTTTTTTGTTTAATCCTTGTCTCCGTAATAATAATAATTTCAAGTCGTGTGCCCATCATTTTGTAGCTCATTTACTATTGGTCGAATTACAATTATAATGATCTAAATTATTTTTAAAAAAATGGCAACTATCGAAAACATCCAAGAACAATTAAAAAAAGCAAATGAAGTGTTGAAAGAAATAAAAGAGGAATTGAAGAGGTGAGAAGAGAGATTTGACGGGTTAAAGAGGAAGAATGTAAGAAGTGAGAGAAAAGAAGAGATGACTGTGAGGAGCAAGTGAAAAGGTTACAAATTGCATTGGTTGAATCAAATAGAGGAAAAGATAATGAACAAATTGCATAAAAAAAAATATACAAAATTTATTTTATCTTGTTCTATTCGTTTATTTATCCATTTGAGAGCATCACTTACAATTTTAACTGACTCTTATTTTTTTTTTGTTCTTAATTAAATATTTGATATTGCTTTATTCATTTACCAACTTCATTCTGAATTTATACATTAACAAAATAGGTTGGACATATGTAATTTTTACTCAACCATGTGCATCTTTGGAGGAGAAAACGTCACAATTAGAATATTTGTATTTGAAGGGAATTTTGGTATACTATTTGAAATGTTGACTCATGATGCTTTTCTTTTTAAATCCTCATTCATCCATTGTGCTGTCAATACCTGATCCTTCTTATTCTTGTTATCTTCACCAAGACTTCTAAAGGATTCTGGCGAGTAACAGGCATGATAACTCATTAACAATCCACAACACCTTCTGTTGCCTAAAAATTTTATCTTATCTTAATTTTTATTTTCTTTAGTTGACTGAACATTTTCTACTAGCATTTTAATTGGATATCGCATTATAAATGTTCATTAGATACATCATCATCATGGTATGTTTAAATAATAACCAGCGTTATTTGTTATGAACTTCCTAAATGAAGCTTCTGACAAGTACCCAATTATTTTAAATCTCATATACCTGCATTTGGGGCTCGATTTTACTTTGTTGGGTGAGAAAATATACTTGAAATGTTGTGGAAAGGCTGTGAATGAATGAATGGTATGTGTGAACGCATTTTGGCAATCTATCTGATAGGAATATGCATCTATATCCTTTGTTGCAAGTGGGCCTGGTACAGGAAAGACTAAATTTAGAAGATATATTTTGGAACACTTAAAGATGACCACCTTAAAGTTTGTGAAATGTTTGAGAACATGGTGCGTGTCATGATTATATTTGGTAATAGGACAGCTGCAAGTGACACAGATATATTGCTTGGAGGAGAAGATGCACTTTACATTTGTATTTTGCATTGTTATTTTGTTGAAGGTAATAGAGTTATGCAATTTGGAAAGTTTTTAGAAAGCTTGCAGACAATTAGGTGTTTCAAAAAGGATTCTAAAATTAGACACAGTTTTGGATGTCATCAATATCAGTCAACAAAAATCACAATGTCAGCCTTTTTACTTTGTGTAGATGAAACTAATAAGTTAATCGACAATGATACTTTACCAACAAGTCAAACATTCCATGCAGTAGTGAATGCAGTAGGATATATAAGTTGTGGTAAAATTGTTAAAAATATATTCTTTATTCCAATTCTTGCAAGAACACTCAAAGTTCTACTTTTGAGAAGTTATTACAAAATCAATGCATCCTGCTTTATCACTTCCATTACCTTTGCCCAGTCATGATGATGCAATTAGTATTGTCTATAAAGATGCTGGTTTGAATGAGGTTTATGTAAAATTACAAATCTATTTCAATGCTGTATTTCAAATATTGGTGGTCACTCTAGAGAAGTATGCAGATGTAGAAAATGTTGAGTCAATTAATCTATATGATATAATGTAATTTGTTCATGTTGAATTGTTGAAATTATATAATTTTGTAAAGGTGTTGTGAGATAGTAAATCTTGAACCTATCAATTAGTTTTGAGAGTAAAGCATAAATATACATTCATGGAAATTGTTATTACAATTTAGTATGAATAAATAAAACATTGAGATTTACTGTGAGGCGTGGATTTTGATCTCACAGTGTCAACAGAAATGGCTCTAGAAATAATAGCTCATGCAATACTTGGGATTCACATACTTTAAACTGTTCTTCAATAGATTTAATTTTACAGATGAAGTGGGTTCAATATGAAATATCCAATCCACAAAGAATTAATCAAAACCCAATTAATGAGGAGATAAGAAAGGAGACAAAAAGTCTCAAGGCCTTGGATTCATCATTACTTGATATCTTATAATTACAAATTGAATGTTGCCATCATTTATTGTGATAATTTTCATCAATTCTATGGACTTGTCTATACTAACCAGGCACAATTTGCTGCTGGTATACAGATGTTTTCTTTCTTCTTTATTAGTCATAATTAATGGATTTTAAATTACAATAACTTATCACTATTTTTAAACTCTAATTCTCAGCAAATGAAAAGATTAATATTAATGCTTGCCCTGGTTGGCAATTGCATCTAATTCATGGAGTTGATCCTACAATTGCAAATAAAATCTTTAGGAGGTGGAAAAAAAGATCATTTGAAAATGAAGATGATTTGTTAAAATGTCAAATTTCCTAAAACACAGTTATCACAGATTCAGTATTGAAAGTTCTTGCTTTTATTTTGTTATACTGTACTTCTTTTATTAATAGATTTATTACAATCCCAAGATTAAAAGATGGCTCCCCTCAATTAATTGCAACCAGTTGCAATTAATTATGGCATATAAAAATTGGATTGCAGTTCACATCTTTACATTATTCTCAACAAAAAAAAAGTATAAAAAAATAAGTGGTAACATATTGTGGTTATTATTATAATGACTCCAAATGATGCAGTAAATTACTATCAACATCTGAAAGTTTATATTTTAAAACATCAATATTCTTAACTCCTTTGTATTCAGTTCTACCCCCTTTAATTTCATTAGGATAAATCCAACCATTATTAAAAACTGTTCTTTGGTCTTTACCAGTCATGGGTAATCCTGTTTATTTTTAACTGCCTATCAAATAATCAATAGCTTCAAATTATAATTATAAAATTATCATAAAACTCAGTGGTTAAATATACTGATGAATTGTTTGAGCTATCAACCTGTCACTAATTCATCAGGAATCTTGTTAAAATTATAAAATTAATAAATAATATATTGTAAATTAATTTGCAAGTTTTTGGATATAAATAAATCCTATGCCAAATTATATATATTACTTCTTGATTGTCATTCACTCATTGTTATAATTGTTTTATTCCTATTGCATTTTAACACATTATCTTAAATGACTCTAAATATTTCTCAGCAAGTGCAACAAATAAGCAGGATGCCATTGATCTTGATGTTTTATGTGTTTTATCCATTAAAGTTTAAAAAGAAAAAATTTAAAACTCCTGGTACTTGAATTTATTTAAAAATTTACTTTTGAACAAATTAATAGATCATTGTAATTTTTGGTAGATTATGAAGAAGCAAGTTTAATATTGTTTAAAAAAGTCAAAAGCAGCAAAGTATCATGTTAATTTGTTTTATAATTGATCAATAAAGGAGTTCCCAAATTTTGGTAATAATAATAATCCTGACTGTACGTAGTAAGCAGGATAAATTTGTAAAATAAAATAATTGATGAGTGTAAAAAGTTAATTTGAACCTGGTCATAAAATGT